ATAACCCAATTATAAATCCCATAACCACAATTACCCTAGATATACATTGGTTATAACTACAGTTACTAAGTAGGTTATAAGTACAATGAACCTCCAAGTACTCTCTACACCTGCCTGGGCGAGCGACCAGGCCTCCGAAGAAGAAGGGTTTCGGGCAGCTTTTGGGGCGTGAGGGAGATGTCGGGGATAGGGGGTTCAGGATTAAGGGTTCGAAGGTTTAAGGGTTTAGGGGTTTAGAGTTTAGGGTTTAGGGTTCAGGGTTAAGGGTTTTCAGGTTTAAGGGTTTAGAGTTAAGGGTTTGGGGGGGGGGGTCAGGGGTGAATAATGAACACCCTCCCCTTAATAGGGATCTTAATAATAAGGCCCTTAAAAGGATGGAGTTGATTAATTAGATAATTAGAGGTCTACACTAGGGGGATTCAGGGTTTAGGGCTGCAGGGCTTTAGGCGCCTTAGGCACTCAAGGTTAAGGGCTCCAGGGTTTAGGGTTTGGGCTCAAAGGTTGAAGGGTTTAGAAGGGTTTAGGGGTTTAGGGCTTTAGGGTTTTAAGGTTCAAGGGTTTAGGGACTAGCGGTTGAAGGGTTTAGGGTGTAGGACTTTGGGTTTTAAGGTTTAAGGGTTTAGGGATTAGGGTTCAGTGGTTTAGAGACTGGGGCCCCTAAACCCTAGGCCCAAACCCTAAACTCTAAGCCCTAAACCCTAAGCCCTAAACCCTAGGGATCAGGAAGGAACCCTCATCTCCCCCGCACATAGCAGGACATGAAGCCTGGACTCTCCTTTAAAGGGTAGCAGGGCTTTGTGAAGGCGATGTAGGTCTCCCTTAAGTGTACCTCCTGAGAAACCCTTGGATTCCTTTGTAATGGTTTAGGGTTTAGGGTTTAGGGTTTAGGGATTAGGGGTTCTGAGCCTTAAGCCCTCAACGCTAAAGCCTAAAACCTAAAACCCTAAACGGCCCTAAGCCCTACCCTGAAGGTCCAAGGACCCAAATAATAGTGTTTTAGGGCCCAAATACTATAATATGAATGGTATTTGGGCCCTAAAACCCTCTTATTTCGGTCCTTGGACCCATAAGGCTACACACACCTGGAACTCTCCTTTTCAGGGATCCTAGCCGTTACTGTTGACGGTTTAGGGTTTAGGGTTTAGGGTTTAGGGTTTTGGGGTTGGAGGCATTGATAACTACTTGGTGGGAAGCTCACCCTACTACTTGCAATCGGGATAACGTCTAGACGGCCATGCAGGCCCTAAATCCTGAGAACCCTAGACGCTAAACCCCTAAACCCTATTTAACCTCTGACCTTCAGGGGATTGCTGGATTACCTGGACCCCCCCCCAAAAAAAAAAGAAATCATGGCCGAAGCTGGTGGTCCAAAAGGCTATTACTCTGCATACTTCGAGGGTTCAGGCGGTTTAGGGTTTAGGTTTTAGGGTTCTTGGTTGTACTCCTGATCTCATATTCCTATATTCTGGTTATATACCTCTGGAGTATTCGAGGATTGGGGGTCTCAGCTTTAGGGTGCAGGGTCAGACACGTGTTGAGGGTCACTGTGGAGGATGGAACATCAGATGGGCAACATGGAAACTGGGCCCTTGTCCGATTGAGTCTTTGGGGATTTATGTACTGTTCATTATCAGGGCACGAATGGCGCGATCCCCGGAATGATCCCCATAGAATCTGCTATTATCCCAGGAAACTTTCTGCATACCCCAGGGCCATACACCTTCCTTGAAGTCTCATTTTCGAAGCCCTTTAAGGTCAGAGGGTATGGTTTTGGGGTATGCTGAAAAAATACTTGTTAGAATAATGGTCTCTGCAGCCCATTCATTCATTCCGTGCTAGTCCCGAGCAAGTTTACGATAGGGACTACCTTGAGGCTCCTAAAGTTTGGGATCGCATCTCGAGGTTCGTGTAACCCCTACGCACCCTGCATATCCCCTAGCACCCAAGGGAACCCTAAGCCCCTGAGCCCTTTGGCCCCCCCCCCCCCAAACCCTAAACCCTGTACACAACCAAAAGCTAAAGCCAAGGAACCAAAACGCCTAAACTCCTAAGTCCTGAGCCCCTACACCCTACACTCTAAGCCCCTAAATCCTAAAGCCTCAAACAATGTCGGCCCTGAATCCCTTCACCATGTGAGGGGGGTTTAACCCCGAACGCCTATACTGCATATGGTGGACTGCCTGGATTGCATAAATGGCGGGAGCCCATTCTACACCCCGAAGCTACTGTAATTACTCCTTAGTAAGAGAACTTCAAAACAGAGCCCTCTAATTTTCAGAAACCCCAGATTCCTAAACCCTTATAAACAAAGGAACCCAGACCCGAAGCCCAAAACTTCATATGGACTGGGTCTACATCACTGTTCCGAAGCCCTAAGGCAAAATAGCCCAACATCCTCTTTAACGTCTTTGGGCTCAAATGCCTCAAAACATGAGCCCTTAGAGCCTTAGCGATACACCCTAAACCCTAAAAGCAAAAAAAACATATATATATATATATGAGCTATAGTCTAAACTCCTAGTATCCCCCTTAATAACCCCTATAGTAGTCCCCTATATAATTCCCTATATAACCCCACTTTAAGGAGTTTAGACTAAAGCTGATACATATATATATATATATGTATACTATACTCTTCCTGACTTAGAGCCTTCGGATAGGGAATTTAGCCCTAAGGGTCCCAGGACCCAAATAATAGGTTTTGAGGTCCCAAATACCATTCATATTATAGTATTTGGGCCCTAAAAGCCTACTATTTGGGTCCTTGCACCCTTAAACCCTACACCCTGAACACTAAACCCTGAACCCAAAACCCTAACCCTGAACCCTAAACCCTATAAACCCTAAACCGGGAAGTCTCCAAATACCCGCCGCCTCAACCTCCGGAGGAACGAAGTCCGGAGGTGATCCTGGAGCCGGAGGACCCTTCGGGGCAGACCTCAGATTACGAGTTTAAGGTTTAGGATTTAAGGTTTAGGGTTGAGGGTTTAGGATTTAGGATTTAGGGCTTATAGGGCTCAGGTTTTAGGGTTTTGGGATTAGGGTTTGGGATTTAGGTTCAGGATTCAGGGCTGATGGTTTAGGGCTTGGGGTTAAGGGTCTTAACCCTATACTTGGGGATCAAGGATTTAGGATCTAGGAGTTTAGGCTTTGGGGGGATTGAAGGTCTTAGGGTGTAGGATTGTGGGATTAAGGCTTGAGGGTAAGGGATTGGGGGTTAAGGGTTTGGGGATTGAGGATTCAGGCCTCGGGTTTGGGGATTAAAGCCTTAAGGTTCAGCCTTAAAGCTCAGGTTTGAGCCGTTAATTAGGGATGAGGGTTGAGGACGGAGCAATTAGGTTTTAGTATTTAGTACAATTTTAGCAGGGAACATCACGGGTGGCTGGCAGTTTTCGGTTTCATTTGCTGCCACTGAGTTCTTTATCATGTTGAAATATCATTCCTCGCCTAGCTGGTGCCCCTAAGTTCATGATCATGGCATCAAGGAGAATTGTGGCAATGCAGCTTCGTTCAGCCGTCAGTACGAGCAGCGGCTTCACCTTAATCGTGAGCAGGGGTCTCGTCCTAGGGGCTTTGGGGGATCTAGGGCAACGGCCTAGAGCTCGGGGCGCTATGTAGGGCTAGGGCTTAAAGTTTAACGCTTCCGCCAATTCAGATCAGCCCTACGTCCCACACCCCACTTCGTATGTCCTAATTACTCGGTTTAGGGGTTGTAGGGTTAAATGTTTACAGCGTTCCTCTTTCTCCAATAACCAGGGCTAAAAAAAGAAAACTTTAATTATAGAGACCCAAAAAGTAAGCCCAAAACCCTAAACCCCAAAACGGAAGCGCAAAACCCTAAACCCCAAAACGGAGTCCCAAAACCCTAAACCTTAAACCCTAAACAGCCCCCAAAAAATGAACTTCTGCGTTTGGCTAAGAAAGGCTCAGGGTTGCCAAGCCACCTTGAAATATTTTCCCGCAACCCAACCCTGCAAGCGCCGCTGCCTAACCCAAGGGTTTAGGCAAACACTTGCAATGACTGTGTCCGACGATCCGTGTGACACACGCCACAAACTTCTCTAAGCCTACATAAACTCAATTCGCCAAGCACCTAACCGGTGGACCTAACCCCTTTTCACGCAACCCCGGAGCCCTAAGCACCAATCCCTAAACCTCGCTGCCAGAATCCTGATAGGGCTTAGGGTTTAGGGTTTAGGATGAAGGGTTCAGGGTTTAGGGTTGCCTAAATCCTGCTCCCAAAACCCTCTACCCAGAACCTAAAAAATCGGACCGCTACACAAGCCCTGTAACCCAAACTTCGTGCAGCGTCGCGTCGGCTCATCGTCCTCGATAACTTCCACCTTCGGGGGTTCTGGCGCCGCCTCCAGCGACTTCATCGAGGCTGGTGTTCCCTAAACCTCAAAAGTATGTAAAATAATAGCCCTAAACCCAGAATAACAGCCATAAAGGCCATGATTTTCCATAATTTTGGGGTCCAGGTAAAAAGTTATGGGTTTAGGGTTCAAAATCGAAGGTTCAGGGCTAGAGCTTCAAGCTTCGAGTCCCCGGTGTAGGGGGTAAGCTTCTAAGCTTAGTCAAGACTCTGAGCATGGAAGTATGGGGCCCCTAAAATTGGCCCTCACCCTTGCAGGGGGCTACTCGGGGCCTTTTTTGATTTGCCTATATATATATATATGTATCCTAACGCTCATAAGGACTCATATTTCAAATCTTTTGCGCCCAAAGACCATGCTACAAAAAAATGTGGGCTCTTTGGAGCCTTAGGAATATGTCCTCAAGCCCTCATATATGTAAATGTACCTAGACGTATACGAAACTAAACGTCTCAGAAGGCGCCTTGGGCTTTACCTTCGACATTATTTTGGGGTTGAGGGTTAGGCGTCAGGCTTTAGGGTTGAGGGTTCGGGGCTTAAGGGCGCGTAACGCTGGCGGTGCTTATAAGCTTTAAGACGTAGGAGTTTTCCCACACCCTACCTGCAACCCCAATTACCCACAATCTTCTCGTAATTATCCCCTCAATTCATAAAGTATGGCCCATAAATCTGTAGCTACTTGCCTAAACTTACCTTTACTTGAGGTCACAAGTAAGCCCTGAAAGCGTTGTGTAAGGCATTGGAGGTTTTTGCCTGAGCTAAGGCCTATTTTTGGGTCAGGGTCTTGGCCCTAAACCCTGAACTGTAAACCCTAAATCCTAAATCCGAAACTCTCAGCCCTAAACAAAACCCTAAACTCTAAATCCTAAACCCTGAACCTTATAAATCCTAAGCCCGAAATCCTGAATCTTCAAACCTAAACCTTAAACCCTCGTGGCTGGCGGCTTAAGGACCAATAAGGATTTTGGCATAGAAATCTCTGTAGCTCGCAGCTTGGGATGCCACCCATCCTCCTTGAGGTTTAGGGTTTACTGGGTTTAGGTTGTAGAGCTGTAGGGTATGTAGGGTTTATAGGGTTTAGGGTTCCGGAAATTTCGCTTGGGATTTGGGGCTGTAAGTCACGACCCGCAGCCAGACGGGTTCAAGTACCCTAATGACCCGGCTTTCGTTACGCACACCACGAGGCATCCAATACTTGGTACCTGGACCCCCAAAAGTATGTAAAATAATGGCCTTTATGGCTATTATTGGGGGTTTAGGGCTATTATTCTACATACTTCTGGGGTTTAGGTAGCAACAATCTCATGAGAATACTTGCGCCGATAGTGAGATAGAAGCACCGCATCGCTGTATGACTTGACCCCTCTCGTTTGCAAAATACACGCGCTGCCCAAGTGAGAGGGAATGCAAATGAACAAAAACAACATCCCAGGCACTGTACCATAACCCCCAGAGCCTGAACTAAGTTATACATGCCGAAGACCTTAAATTGAGGCAGCCCTTGAGGGGCCCCCTCCTTTGGGGGTACATTTAGGCAGTATGTAGTATGGGCGCTTAATCCTCGGGGTCCTGAGATACCCGGTATTTACAGCATGAAACCCTTCAAATCACATTAGAGGCGCCTAGTTAGCACCCAGGAAACAGGTCAAGGCACATATTAAGGGCCAATGCTCAGGACCCTAAACCTAAACCCTAAACCCATATTAAGGGCCCATGCTTAGGACCGTAGGCAGCCCGAGCGCGCCTCAACTGGTGGGGGCTGTGCAAAGAGCCCGCCGGCCTGCAACTAGGAACTTCCGGTTTAGGGATGAGGGTTTAGGGATAAGGGCTTAGGGTTTTAGGGTTACCAACATTAGGGGTCCCTTTTTAGGGGTCCCCATAGCAAGGATTCGCGTATTTTGGGTTTTATCTTGGGTCCCCCTATATAGGGGAATCTACCAGGCTCGAAGTCTATGTCATAGCCCTTTACTCAGGGCATGTAGGGACTATAGGCTACAGGAGTTAAGGGTTAAGGGCTTGTAGGTTTTAAGGTTTATGGATACGAAATTTTCTCATGGTAAGTGTATTCTGGTACTGTCTTGGGAGCGTGTATTGTCAGTGGAGTGGGCAGGGTTCATGAGAAGGTAAACCGCATGAGGAATCTTAGGGAAGTACCCTAATCATAGACTAAGTGAACAGGAAGAAGATTGGTACCCATCCTACAGACAGCCAGTTCCCACTTGACCTTCCTTGTTCGTTTCCACTTGGTTGGCAGCAGTGGGTCGAATCTTAGTATGCCTAAACCGGCCTTAAATCCCAAACCCTGAGCCCTCCTAAATACCCAACCTAGACCCTAAATCCTAAATGCCTGAAGCCTTAGTTCATGGTCAAGAGACCCTAAACCCTAAACTTCGTGAAGCCATCTACAAGGCTTAGGGTAGTTTGGGGGGGAATAGATTCCATAGTGCTTCCATGATCCATAAAACCCCATATATAATCCCCATAAACCCTAAACCCTAGATCCCTCAATCCCAAATCCCTAAACCCCAAATCCCTAAACCCTAAGTCCCTAAACCCTTATAAACCCTAAATCCCTAAACTCCCTAAATCCCTAAATCCTTCAACCCTCCGGACCCCCATAAGTCCCCCATGACTTAGAGGGGCCCTATGGATGGCCTTTTGGAAAAACGACCCAGCTCTAGACTTTGCGCATGAACCTGGGGATCCTCCAGCCCAGAACCTGGAACCCTAAACCCAAAGCCTTTGGGTTTAGGGTTCAGTTTAGGGTTTAGGGGTTTAGGGTTTAGGGTTTAGGGGTTTAGGGTTTAGGGTTTAGGGGTTTAGGGTTTAGGGTTAGTTAAAACAGGGCTAGTAGGTGAAGCCATGATACATCCCACCCAGAGATCTTAGTTGACTCTACGCAGTTGCAGGAATTTCTGATAGATCTAAAGTAGCCAATGTAGCCGCAAGAAAAGGAGAGCATTTAAGTGGCTTGTTTCAGTTGGTAGGGGTGTAAGCGGCTCTAAGAAGTTGCTAGCCTTTCTAATCATTTGGATCTCTAGGCAGGCCACCCTAAACCCTAAACCCTAAACCTTCTGGAAAAGGGGGTCCTCTAGGTGAGGAGCAAGAGGAATGATCAGGGTCCCCCTTAGGGATTAGACAGGCATTGCGCTTGGGAAGTACCATTGGTTTTAGGGTTTAGGGTTTAGGGTTTAGTCCTTTGTTGCAGACCTAATCACAAAGTCTTGATATCCCCCAGGCGGGCCAGGATTGATTGGGCCACGAGAGACAGCTCTTTGTTCCTTATGGGGATCGCAGGCTCCTGATTGAACCCTGTCAGGAGTACCTGCCACAACCCTAAACCCCTAAACCCTACAACATGGCTGACCCCATTGCAATTGAGATTGGACCCGGGCCTGGCATCTTTTCTTGAAACACCATTCTGTCAGTAACTTTCCTCGCGTTGTTTTGTCAGTAACTTTCCTCATGATCTTGTGAGGAATGATGGACCACGAGTGAAGGTGCTGCTTAACACATCTAGCCTGCAATCAAAATGACTGTAGTTTGCAACAGGCCCCATTTCATGTTTCGGTTAAGTTCGGGGCAATGTAAATCCTGAAACCCTAAGCCTTATGAACCCCAAGCCTTGTTACACCAACCCTCAAAAATCTATCGTACCCCTTTGGGCATATTACAATCAGATCCCCACATACCCCCAGATTCTATCTACTTAAAGGGGGTTATAAGTCCCAGCTCTCTCTCATCCCGGTACCTGGGCTGGCGGCGGGGTCAGAAATGGCGACGGCGCCTGCAAGCGGGAATGTACTCGGGGCTAAAACTATACTATGTCTTAAACCCTGAACCCTAAAATCTCAACTACCTGAACCCCAAAAGTATGTAAAACAATGGCCTTTATGGCTGTTATCATGGGTTTAGGCCTATTGTTTTACATACTTTTTGGGGTTTAGGTAAAACTATGTTTCAAGGTTCAGGGTTCCAGCCTAGCGCTCAAGGTCTACAAATCTGCGTACATTGGGCTCCAATGTCTAGAAATTGTGCCTGCATTGGGCTGGGGGTTAAGGTCTGGGGATACAAGTGTTCAAGAGTTTCAGGTTTTTAGGTTTCAGCTTTAGATTCACCACGCAGGGAGGATTTTAAAGGGGTTATGTATGGCTTATGCGGGGAGTACGGGGAGACTTGGAGGTATATAAAGGCTAGCGTTTATAGTCCCCCTTAAGTAGACACAAAGGGCTTTGGGTATATTACAGTAAGATCCCCATATACCCCACATTATATCTACTTAAGGGTGCAGGCATGGAAGGCTTCCAGACGAGCCCACCATCAGAAACGCCTTTAGAATCGAGTTTTGGTAACTTGGTAGTTCCCCAACATAAGGGGACCCCTATGTAGACCCCAATATACTATAACCCTTGTTAAAGGAATGCCCAGAAAGGTACCCCCAATTTTGGAAAAGCCCAATGTGGATCAGATGGAAAAGAAAATAGACAGTAACATGGAAACTGGGCTCCTATAGGCTGAAACACTAAACCTCAAACCCTAAACCCTAAAACCCAAAACCGTAACCCCCGAAACCCTAAACCTCAAACCCAAAACTCCAAACCC